AAAAAATAAAAAAAACTGGTCTTAATTATACAAATTTAGCAGAAACTACAAAAAGCGAAGCGCAGAGACAGATAACTTTACGTTTTGGGGTAAAAGCAAAACGTGTTTAGCTTTCTATTTAAACTATGCAAATTCGCATTGATTATTTATTTCTTGGCTCTGGCAGAAATAACAAAAATAAAACCCCCCCTCGAGACCAAAGTAAAAAAAAAAAAGGCAAAATAGAAAAATAGAAAAAAAAACGTAGAAAACAGCCATAAAAAGGAGCGTTCGATCGATCGGCTCAGGTGGAATATGCATAACCGGTCAAAGACCACAAAGAACCTGATCGCAACTCGATTTAGTTGGTTTTGCTCGGCAACTCGGTTGGGTTCTAGACCCGCAGAAGCGCAGAACCAATACTGGGATGGATACGTATGGCGTATTTCCTTAAGTTGGCCATAAAATATGATTTAGCCACATATTATTTATGGCCCGCAACCAGATCTCTGATTCAGAACGTGCAGCCATAACTGATTTTTAATATTCCATTCAGATTCAATCACATGCCCTGGACATGCTCCACTAATGACAACCCGCTCTCGCCAAATAAAATTAGGGGCGTTGTCATCGGCCACCTACAAGATAATGTCGTATAATAGAATTCCGGGGGGATGGTTGGATAATATGGACGGAGGGGGTTCCTCCTGCATGTGCCCCGATGCAAATGAGACGGATTAACGGACGGAACCAGTTCCGTGATGCGGGGATGGGATGTTGGAGCGATGTGGGCAGATATCGGGTATCCGAGCATCAGTTAGGTGATAGGTTGCTCCAAAATGGAGCTGCCCAGATTTATGGAACTGTCTATAAGGAGAGGTTCGAAAAAAGATCTGCATATCAATGGACTAATAGATGCACCGATAGATACTGCTTAATTTAGCCAATAAATTGAACAAATTATACATAAAGAGATTTGAATTGATATGGAAACCATGAATAAGAAACGGTAACACACCAACATAAATTCTAAAACGTATATATAGAGAATTAAATTGATCAGAATGAATTTGTACGAAATAAAGGAAAGCTTAATTATTAATTATACGAGTATATATGTACAGCCCTTAAAGACATGTAATAAGAGGTTCATAAAAAGTCCTGCAAATCCATAGTTATAATATAATATTTATATAAGTCTCCCGTAACAAGTTATTAAGAAAATTTAGTAAAGTGAAAAAAACAGGATAAGCTTAAAAGTAGAAAAATGTTCATTTATAAACATAAATTGTAAATCAAAATATTGTTAACATGTGACAAACAGATATATTATGTTCAATTAATCTATTTTTTTTAAATAAATATCAACAAAAGACTATGACAAAAAGTAGATAAATTAAACATAAGTCTTTTTGTAAAGAAAAGTATACACAAAGAATAAAAAACATTTTTGACTTTATTTCGGTGTTCTATTAAACCTAAAAAAAATTAAATTTTGAGTTAGTCATCTTTCGAATTCCCGAAACAGTTATAATTGATTTATGTCTACCAAATTCAAAGACAGCAACATTTTTCCTTATCAATGAAACGTTTAGATAGAAGTATCTAATAGAGTCAACCTTAGTCTAATTCATTTAGCAAAAATATCTAAACTCACTTCCTTGCAAATCAAAGTTGTTCCGAAGATATTGGTCAAGGATATTTTTAAAGACTACTTATTGGATTGTTGAATGAAAATAATTTTAAATTCTGGAAAATTTCCTCATTGATAAACCACTGTCTCGTTAAAGTTTTAATTGGGGCCTCATTCAATGACTCTTCGTCATGTTGATCAAATTTAGACCCTGATTTCAGTGTCTGTTTTCCTGTTCGAACTAAGATTTTACATAATTTTTACATCATCCATTCCGCAAAAGGGCAAAAAAAGAAGGAGAGAACAAAATCGTTTCGAATCGAATAGAACTGAATGGTTCAGAACTAAATGTTTTGGTTTCTTAGAAATCTCGTTCCTGTCTCCTTATAATTGCTAATTTATTTATTTATTTTATATTCTTTTTTCTGCTCTTTCTTTATTGTTTTGGCTAAGCGTTGATGGGGAAAAAATAAACAGAAAAAAGAGTGATAAAGACTCATCGAAGATTCGAATGCCCTATGTGATTTTTAAGAAATTGGGTGATAATACCAATATTAAATTTTTATTACCAAGAAATTCACAAATTGCTTGTGTTTTTTTGTTCAACGTATGTTTATTAATTATTTGTTTACTTCTTTATAGTTAAGTATGAAATGTAATACTTTCATAGCTACGGTTTTCAATAGAATTAAATATGGAAAAGTGTTATTTTTTAAATAAATAAAATTACTTAACATAGTCTTTTTAAAACGACGAGTTACTTCTGAAAATGTGTGCTCCGTGTGAAAGTTAAAATACCCCAAAAAATCGGGCATAAATCTAAAATTCGGCAAAATTCAAAGCGGCCAGCGAAACGAGGGAACTGGGGGCTGCGTAACAAGTTGTTGGATCTGTTAATTTGCCAAAGAAATCACAGGCAGGCACGGGCGAAAGATCGCAATAAAAAATTAGAGACAAAACACGGGCAAATGAAACACTTTCTTTTCTTTCGTATGCAAATGGCAAATGTAAAGCCAATATCCACAAAATTCGCGTTAAGCGGATGGTAATTAATACGGCAGCTGCAGGCTTTTACTTGGAATTAAGGCGATGACAATTAATGGGGTGATGAGAGTGGTGAGTCAGTACGATTCGATTGGGTCTCCGATTCCGAGTTCGATTCCGATTCCGATTCCGTTTCCAAGTGCCACTCCCTTTGGGCTCCGGGGTTTTGCTAACTCGTTTGTACCTCTAAGTGAGACATCAAGATCGGCTCAAAATCGAAGACAAAACTCTGGGGCGTGTGCAAGTATGCATAACAAATGCGATTCGATATCAAAGACACGCCACCAGACACCAGGTTGTTTTCCAAGGCGAACTAACGAACAGCCATCACAAATCTGACAAGTCGCTGAAATGGCCAAAAACCAAAACTGAAACCAAAACGTTTTCATTAGGCCAAGAAACCAAGAAGATTGGCCGGCAACCAGAAGAAGAATCTCGCCAAAGACCCACCAAAGTCGATGAAAAATGAATGCCGTGCGGCATTCGTTTAAGTTATTAAGCATAAAACTTAAATTAGAGGCACCATTAGCGATTATCATTAGAGGTGCGTGTCCGGTCCGGTTTGATTCCAATCTTATCTCTTCGATGGGAAAGCAGTTCTGATTGACTTGATTGCTGACAGGCATTTTTCTCTATCAAAATGTTTATGCAACAACTGCGAACTGGAATTGTGGAAGCCTTTGCACTCAGATTCTAGGAACAACTTAAGACTCAATAACATAAATAAGTTCTGAAGTCAAAAGAGAACGTGTTGAAGCACTAATTTACTGTCTTAAATTTCTTGAAATGCAAAACGATTAAGATAAAAATAGATGGCACAAAAATAATAAATATGTTTTCATATATTTATGTATTTGTGTTCATATAAATTTCCTATAAAATATATTTCAAAATCGCCAGATAATTTCATCTGCAAAAAATATTTAAACAAATCACTATACATTTAGATTTGGAATAACAAAATATAGAATTGTTTATTTTTAAAGCACTTTTATTAGCTAACGTTTTATTGTCTTGAATAATGATTTGTATAAACTGTATAACGCTATAAAAACATCCACGATATTTCAAATTGGCGAGATAGGAATAATCGTTAATTAATCAAGAACTAGTTCATTAAAAAGTCGAATATTAAATTTTAAATAGGATTATCTATTGGAATATGAATAATTATCATAGGAAAACAAAATTCAAGGTTCGAAATAGTACTTTTTTAGAAGTATCAACAAAAGGCTTACATATTATACCACAGCAATTCACAGGTGAATTTCAAGATCTTAAAAAGGCATCGACAATGGAACAATTAGAGCCCCAAAAGAGCAGATAACAAATCGTTCCGTAAATAGAGCCATTAGTGTAACCAATAACTATGCAAATGAGGGAAATACAAAACGCTGAGAAGCTACCGAAAGCGAAAACCCCTCGCATCCGAGGTTAAATGCCATTTGTGAGCCCAAGACCCCGACAGACACTGATCCGCCAGAAGATTCCGACCAGAAGAGACCAGATTGGTAGAAAAAAAGAATCGCATTTGATAAATTTTGATAAGACCGAAACGGAACGACTAATTAAGCGAAGGCTGAACGCTGATGCATTAACATATGAAGGCATGAGAATGGGGCATCTTATCAGAGGAGAAGAATCACCACCATCACCGTTGAAGAATCAGATTGGAGATTGGAGACTGGAGATCCATTCAGCAGTACTTTCGGAACTTGGAAACTTGGAACTTGGGTGTCCACTCCACACTCAAACTGGTCGCCCAAAAATCGTTATACGTGAATCGACGCATATTTTATCGTTAGTATATATATTTTATATATATTCCATGCTTTATAAAAAATTAACGCAGATTTAAATTTACGCACATGCACACACAAACACACCGAGGGAATCATCATTAAACGTGTATGCTAATTTGATGATGGCGGTTTTCTAATTTTGTTGCCCCGAAAACCAGATTTCTATGCTGCGATCGATCTCCGTCAGCAACGGAAAGCCAGAAGAATTGCCCAGAAGACCCGTAAAAAGTTACATCTTCTGGGGTCCATCCATCTCTATCCACAGATGGATGATGATGATGATGATGGTGATGGCTTACAGACCCCTCTTTTTTGGGCTAATCCCCTCCCCCCTTTTTTTTTTTGGTTTTTTTTTCGTTAGTCTTAAGCGTTGACAAACTTTGGCTTTTTGTCGATTCTAAGTGGCTGCGACGACGCCGGCAGAGGCTCAGTTCGTTGTCCGGTTCCTATTTCTGCCGACGTCGCTGTCGGCGTCGCAGATAATACCATATATAAGGAAACAAGAAGTGGCATCGGTTGTATTTATTTGCTAGAATCTGTGAGCATCGGAACTGACCGAGCCGCTACAAAAAAGAAAACATAAAGTCCTCGTTTCGAATTTTTTTCACCCCACAAACACACAAAAATGAAGAGTTTTGTAAGTGCCCAACAATAAAAAAATAAAAAAAAATACAGCAAGGAAATTTTTAAAAGCAATTTTTTTTGTGGTGCCTTAATTGCAAAAGGATCAAGTGAAAGTGCGCGATATCAATGTCCTTAAATAGTGTGAAGATTTTAAAACTGAACTTTAAAGCTTTAAATTTAAATACGTACAAAATAAAAACGGATTTCAGGAATCCCTTTAAATTTACTAAATACCTAAAACAAATTCAAAACTACAAAATAAGGATGTCTTATAGTTTCTAACTTTTGGCAATCACTTCAAAATACTTTAAAGTAAATGAAATAAATATAAACGGATTAAATAGAAAAAAAAAATCAAAAACTTTAAGGAAAGGTCCGATTCGGATCACCTTGAGCGACCGCACAGCTCATCAACGTCAAAAACGACGAATGACAAATATCGAAACGGTTGGAACCCATTATGATTAGTGCCTCGGCCTGAAACCAAATCAAATAAATCACGGCAAATACTGAAAAAAAAAAACATCGAGAGACTCGCGAGACAATGCGACGCTATGCGGTTAGACAAAAAAAAAACGCCAGCGAATCGCGCGCGACTTTGATTAATTGCCCACTAATGCGAAATGCAAAACACGAATACGAAATGTAAATCGAATTTGAAGCGTTAAATGCCTGTGATGCACAGATCGATAATATGATGGGTGACCGGAGTGATATGGAGTACTAACCAGTCCTTTTTTTTCCTACCTCCTTGCAGCTGATCCTTTTGGGTTTCGCGGCTCTGGCGGCTGCCGATGTCAAGCACTTGTCGGACCGCAATCTCGACCTCTTCAAGTACAACCCCAGCGACATCTACACCCTGCCCGAGGACATCGATGACGAGAAGCCGGCGGTGCATTTCAGCGGCGACGTGATGAAGGCCAAGACTGAGACCCTGCAGAACTACAACTCCGGCAAGAAGTTCAAGTTGGAGTGAGTGCATATTCCTACCAAATATGTTATAGTTCTGGCCTTCCCAAAAAGTTCAAGTGTAGTAATTGTGATCCTTAATTTATTGTTTCTATAAACATTTCTTAAGGAATATATCTAATATCAATTAAATTTGTAAAGCTTCGGGTTAAGTTCTATTATCTAATCTTTTTTAGCAGCTTTTTTATGACTTTCATACATTTAATTTAAAGAAAACTATTAACAGTTCATTAGGTCCAAATATTTTATTTTGCAATTGAAATTGATTTCAGGATAATTTAAAAAAATATTCAGGAATTTTTTTTTAATTAATAGTCACAAACAAAATTTTAAAAGTTGAAACGTATTCAATAATACGATTATTATTTCACTAAAATATCCATAACTTCTATGCCTTCAATAAACCTCTATTTATTTATTTATACTTTTATATTTTTATTCAATTTCAGACTGAAGACCCAGAACGGCATCGAAGTGAGCAGCGTGGGCAAGCTGAAGGACGACAAGACCTTTGTGGTCAGCGGCTCCTACTCGTTCACTGGCGCCGATGGCAAGCGGTACAGGACCCGATACACCGCCGATGAGTTCGGATACCACCCCATCACCGAGCTGGATCTCGACATTCCCGAGTGAGTATTTTACAATCAAAAAACATTTATCCCAATTTTTAAGGCAATCTTAAATAACAATGGCATACAAATTTAACAAGATATCAAAACTTTGAGTATATTACATTTTTTAACAAAAATATTTAAAGAATATATGATGAATTTATTAAAATAAAAAAATACTGCCCGTAAAATGAAAGTAGAAAAAAGTAAAGTTAAAGTTAGATTAAAATTTTTAAGAATCCTAAAAAAAATTTAAAAAGAAAAATATAAAAAGAACTCCAATAAATGATTCCAATTGAAAATGGTTGCAAATAAATGCAAATAAAAACTTTCTGTTTGTAAATAGACTTTTAAAAATCGAAAAAGAAGAACATATAAAGAAGAATATGTTCTAATATCTGTCAATTTAATTTTAGGCCCCAGCCTTTGGCCGCTGCTGGACAGCGTCAACCCGTGGATCCCAGCAGCCTGTTGGGCAACAAGAACCGCTTCCAGTTCCTGCAACAGACCCTGGACTCCGAGCAAGGACCTCTGCGGGGCAGTGGACAGAGTGGCGATGACTACAGCTACACGTCTCCCTACGGAAACGGCTACGATTACCAGCCTCCTCAAGTGCAACTTGCGACGCCCTCTCGTCAATATTTGCCCACGGCATAAGGTGGTTTCGTATACACTCGTATATAGGCATCCCCAGATTTATGCGCCCCAAGAAAAGAAACAAAAAATACCTACCCCACCCGTTTCCCGATCCCCGATTTTCCCCAGCTGCAAGTATTTAGTTTTTTAAGTGCAACTCCAACAGGCAAAATTAAGAGTAAAACAAGGCAAATTCACAGTGCTAGCGAAATTTTTTTTTTTTTTATCATTTTTTAGTGTTATATACGAAGCACAATTTTATATGATATTATACCTATACACAATGATATATGTTATGTATCTACCCCACACACAACACACACACAAAACACAAAAAAACACACACACAAATCCCGACAAAAGACACAAACGAATCTATGTATATACACTGAGTGATATTAGTAGTAAATAAAATGGCTAAACTAACGATCAAAGTCTAAATTGGGTTTAATTGGGAATATTAATGAGAGATTCAATCGGGGGCTTAATTAGGTTAGAAGTTGTCAAGCTGCTTTTAACACTTTAACATACAAATTTGGATGGGCTAATAAAAAGCACAGACTTTCAATTTTTCGGATTTTTCAATTTATTTTGTTTAATGCATTTATATTTAAAAGCAATTGAACAATTTTTCAAGACCTGGAATTTGATTTATCTGAGTGGTTTTATATTAAAAAGGTTCAAAATTTTTTAAGCATTTAAACAAATATTTCATTTATAGCCTTAAAGCATGCAAATAAAAATTAAATCTTTTTAATGTCCATGAAATGTCAATATCAATCGACCGAAAATTAAAAACAATGTCTTTAACACAGACTTTTAGGGAATTAAGCTACAAGCTTTAAATGGTATAACACTTCAAACCCTATTTTCTGTGAGAAAAGTTATGGACTTAGCATTGCAGGTTTTTCGACTATTTCAAAATGGGCATCGTCATAAAAAATTACAAAAAATCGACCAAAAATTACAAACCAAATTAAATCAAACGCCTTTAAAGGCGTGAGAAAAGTTATGGGCTTAAAATTTAAGGTTTTGAGTCACTTTTCTGAAACATGTGCAACTACTTAAGACAAGAAAGTGCAAAGCATCATATAATTAAAAAACATATCTCGCTATTTTTGGAAAATTTAGCGTATTTGATAAGTGCTGACCAACGGAGCCTAACTAAGTGATAAGGCGATTCGCTGGAATATGAATTAGCAACAGATGTTGTGCTCACCTAAGATACACCCGACGTCCCCTGAATCTTAAAAACGGTCGCTTATAAATGCACTGCTTATAATAGCGAAAAACCTTAAAAAAACAAAATTGTTTGATTTTTGGAAAGTTTATTTCACTTTTTTGCTCAGCTTACAAACTATCTGGTCAGTGAGTTCGTTTCGCGACAAACATCGCACACCCCGCTACACTTACAACTTGAAGTACTTGGTGTAGTAGTCGCTGAAGAAGGAGTAGTCGAAGTGGCCGTAGTCGGAGTAGCCCTTGTACTGTTGGTACTTCTCCATGGAGTCGGTGTGGTAGATGGACACGTCCTTGAAGTACATGTTGGGCACGAAGAACTCGTACTCATCGATCTCACGGTCGAAGGGATAGCCGAAGGGCATGGTGTCCAGGAAGCGGGCTCCGGAACCGATGCCGCAGGAATAGGTCTGTCCAAAGGTGGCGAACTGTTCGTGGGCGGGGGCGACGTACGGCAGGACCATGAAGAACATCTGCATGGGCATACCGCTCTTCCAGCCCTTGGGCAGCACTAAGCGATCGGGGAATCCGCAGTGGGGCTCGCTGATGTCCACGGGGAAGTCGTACTTGCCGTCGAAGGCCATCGTGTATTTGTACAGCTCGGTGTAGGTGGTGCGATCCTTGACGGTCCAGGTGAATGCGTCGGATTTGCGGGTTACCAGATTGCTGCCTGTCTTCAGCTCGTAGTAGAACTCGTCGATCTCCATGAAGTTCATGCGGTTGTCCGCCAACGAGATCGTCCTGCCGAACTCATCGAACTTCGGGCCCAGGAAGGCGCGAATAACCACCTTCTCGACCTTGTCAGACTCGATGGTGTAGGTGTAGCTGAATGGCTTGTGGTTCAGACGCATCTGACGGGCAAACAGAGACTTGTCCCACACAAACTTGCCATCGGCGAAGATCATCTTCTCGTTCAGCATGTTGGTCACATCGAAGTCAACCAAATCGAAGTAGGTGGTCAGTTCGCTGACCTCCACTTGCTTCAGGGTGACGCCCGGCATCAAAAGCTGCTCCTTGGTGTATTTGGGCAGGTGGTGCATGAACTGGAAGTAGACCTCGGCGATCGACTTGTAGAACATGTAGAACAGGGGGTCGCGCATCATGGTCTCGAAATTGAGCATCACATTGGGATAGACATCCATCTGGGGGTAGTCGGTTTCGGCAAAGTACATATGGGCGAACATGTACCAGAACTGGTAGAACATCTTGTCCATGGCGTCGATGTTGCCCTGCATCATGTTGCCAATGAACTCGACGGACTCGGGCTTGCGCAGGTCGATCGTGTGACCATCGGCAGTCGTGTAATATCCCATCGCGATGATGTTGTGGATGCGTCCCAGGAAGCCGGTGATCTTGTCCAGCATCTCAAAGTTGCCGTACGTCTCCATCTCGTAGTAGTTCTTGCGGGAGCTGAAGCCCACGCCGTTGTAGTAGACCATCTGTGGGTCGTAGCCCATCTCGATCTGGTGGTACCAGGAGAACTCGGGGATCTCGCCAAGACCGTGAGCGAGGCGCTCCATGTAGTACCTGCTGAGCAGCTGGTGCACGTTGTACAGCCACCACTCACCGCGACGGTCGTTCTTCAGGCCGAAGGTGGTGCCGTCCAGGAAGAAGGAGTAGTCCATGTTCAGGTAGTACCAGTAGGCGTTCCATCCCAGATCCTCGGTGAAGTACGAGAGCTTCGACTCCTCGTTGTAGAGGTTCAGGTCGCGGGTGTAGTCCACTGGCATGTAGAACTTCTTCACGTCCTTCATCATCGAGAGCCACTTGCCCTCCTGGTTGAATTCGTAATTGTTTTCGCGAAGGATGTACTTCTCCTCGCTGTACCAGTGCTCGCCCAGACCCATCAGCTTCCACCACTGCCAGGTCTTGAAGTCCCTGATGTACATGTAGTCGCTGGACTGGTACATGTTTCCGTATCCGTATCCGTATCCGTGGGTCTTGTGGTACACGTCCAGGTACTCCTTCTCGTACAGACTGGTCTTCATCCACATCTCGTAGTCGAACTTCTCGGCCTCGAACACGAACTTGCTGTTGAAGAAGAACTGTGGGAAGATCTCGTGGATGGCGGGCAGCACCAGTCCGTGGAGGTCCTCGCGGTGGATGACGGCCAGAGTCAGAGCGTAAACGAACATGCCCTCGTTGACGTGCATGCGGGCCCAGGCCACGTTGGTCATGAAGGTCTCCCAGTCCTTGGCGTAGTAGAAGAAGTTGAACAGGCCGCGAGCCTGCTTGGCATGGAACTTGACCAACGCGCCGAAGAACTCGCCCTTGGGCAGCAAGGCATGCGCCTTGTAGGCCTCGAAGAACTTCTTCATGTACAGGTCGAAGTGCTGTAGGAGGGGGGCGATTGTGGTTATACGTTGTAGAAGTAGACAAAATCTTGTAATCTCACCGTGTAGTGGGTCTCCTCGAAGTAGAACTTATCGCCCTGCTTGATGTACTCCTCGAACGCCAGCGGGTCTTCAACACGGTAGACGATCTCGAGCAGGAACTTCTGCTTCTCGAGGAAGGACTTGTCGGCGACCTTGACCTGATGCACCTGGTGCAAACTGGTCGCGGCGACCAGGCCCACAAGGGCCAGCAATGCGATGGCGACCTTCATGATGATGACTCCTGCAACTTCTCTACTCTCCTTTCTCCTTTCTCCACTCTCGACTTCAACTGCTCCGGATTGAATGCACTTGGTGGATCCAATGCCTAAAGACTGTTGCCTTACTGACGCCCACCGGTCTGCTTTTATAGCTCAGATTCATACGGGAATCTGTGATTCGACGTCGAGGTCAGGGGTCATCGGGTGTATCTCCGGTGCTGGCCGCACCATCTGTTGCTAATCCAGTGTCCAGCAAATCGGCGGCTTATCACCTCTGTTGGTGTCCACTTATCGAGTCCCCATTTCTATTTCGCTTATTGCCATGCGCCAGCTGCAGTTGCAATTAAGAAAGTACTTTAAAAAGTATATATCAAAATCCGGGTCTCACAATCGAAAGTTTTTTTATTTGTATGTTTTTGGTAGAATTTACTTTGAATGATTTTCTGTGTTTGTTAGGAAACCTATTTTTGTATATCACTTGTATTCACTCAAAATATGCCAATATTAACAATGCTCGCATTGTCTAATATAGGACAGTAGTATTTATTAAAGGACCAAAATGTTATTAAATAATAAAACAATAGTAAAAACAATTTGATTTGCAATAATTTTGTTAAATATTTTCGTTTATTGTTGAAAAATGGGGTTCTTAGAAATTGTTCATCTCTCCATATACATAAAAAACTTTCTTTGTACAAGTTCCTGACCTCTTTTTGGACCAATTTTCAAATCAATAAAACTTATCAGATGTATTAATGACTCTATTCGTTGAAAATGGTTGCACTGTATTGAAAGTATATAAATCACAATTAATGTTTATATTTAAAAGTACTCCAAATATATAAATATAATGTAGACTTAATTTTGCACATATCAGAGATCCAAATTCAGCCTGGAAGTATGCAAATAACAATGAAAAACCATTCAAAAACAAGAAAGGAAAGCTAACTTCGGGCGGAGTCGAAGTTGATATACCCTTGCAGAATATTCTGTAAATTATATTCTCCAAAATTCAAATTTCAAATTTTGGGTCAACGTTAAAGAAGTCATCGGAATATTAGAAAAAAACTAACATGAAAATGGGTCAAAAATTTGATCAACGTTAAATGGAAAAATTTGAATGCAGATTTTTAGAGAATCCAATCAGAACTCTTTAGAGGTATGCCACTTTGAAATCGGATTAAATTTGGTAAAGTTATGGACTCTCGAAGTCAAATTTTAAGTCACTCTTTTACAAGACATCGGAAAATTAGAAATAACTAACATGAAAAAGGGTCAAAAATGTGATCAACGTTAATTTGAAAAATTTGAAAGCAGATTTTTAGAGGATCGAATCACAAGTCTTTAGAGGTATGCCACTTTGGAATCGGTTGAAATTTGGAGAAGTTATGGACCCTCGAAGTCCAATTTTGGGTGAATGTTAAATAAGACATCGGAAAAATAGAAATAACTAACATGAAAATGGGTCAAAAATTCGATCAACGTCAATTTGAAGAATTTGAATGCAGATTTTTAGAGGATCGAGTCACAAGTCTTTAGAGGTATGCCACTTTGGAATCGGTTTAAATTTGGAAAAGTTATGGACCCTCGAAGTCCAATTTTGGGTCAATGTTAAATAAGACATCGGAAAATTAGAAATAATTGACATGAAAATGGGTCAAAAATGTGATCAACGTTAATTTGAACAAGAAAGGAAAGCTAACTTCGGGCGGAGCCGAAGTTGATATACCCTTGCAGAATACTCTGTAAATTATATTTTCCAAAATTATTCATATGATGCATTCTTAATACTCATAAAAAATCCCTTCGTAACTTTAAAAACACCAAAGTTATGGCATTTCCGATCAATCAGTTATATGGCAGCTGTAGGATATAGTCGGCCGATCCTTATGAAATTTGATAGGTCAGATTGATTGGCCAATTTTTATTTATTTTCGTACAAAAAGTTGACATCTCAGTCCGGAAGTGGGATAAACGGAGGGGGATATTTAGGTCTCTCATCCACTGGCCTCCAGCAGCGACTCGATCCGCTCCCTGGCTTCCACATAGGCGGCCATCACCTCGTCCAAAGTGGTTGCCCTGGCCGTGTCCGCATTCGAACTGGACCCGACCTCCTCATCGCTGTCGCCATCGCTGCCATTCCCGAGATCAAGATGGAACTGCAGCTGGCTGGAGGGGTCGACCTGTCGCTGCTGGAGCTTCTGCAGCCGGAGCATTAGAGATCCCGTCGTGGTCATGGCCCTGCTGCCACTCAAATCCAAGCGGGAATGCAGCTCCGACTCCTTCTGCACATCGAAGTAGGCCACAAAATCGAAGAGCTGTCGACCGCCGATGAAGTAGCGATTGAGGCCATCCAGCCAGTTGCCCAGCGGTCGGACGCACTGCAGCCGCACGGCATCACCATCGTCGGTGGAGGAGGGGGCAATGTGGGATGTCAGCGGGACGGCGTAGTGGGCATAGCCCTCGCACCGCTCCCGCTGCCAACCATCGATGCTGACCACCTCGAAGTAGAGGTGCAGCAGGTCGGCGGGCTGGTGCTGCTCCTCGCAGAGCAGGGTCACCTGCCAGCAGTGTCCCAGGCGGGCGATCCGCCAGTCGCCGGCATTCCTGCAGGTGGCCGTGGCGCCCTGCATCGGATCATCCCCGCCGGGAGCCGCCTCCCACAGGGTGTTCGCCGGCGGCTTAAGATAATACCGCACATGGATGTTGGGGTTCTCGAAGTGCTGAGCCTCCTGCAGTTCCAGCAGCAGGGACACCCTCCTCATCCTCTTCGGCGGCATATCGAATTGCAGCAGATTGCGCCGTTCGCTGGCCGCCGCTCTCCGCCTGCGATAGTACTCCAGAATCTCCAGGGCAGAGGCTTCTTCGGGCAGATCCTCTTCGGCCCCATCATCTTCAGCCAGTTCCAGTCGTTCGTCCAGCTCCTGCTCCAGGAAACTGTCGTCTTTGGAGGCCTGCAGTGGCGTGGCATTCTCGAAACCAAAGGCATACAACTGCCGACAGTCGTTGTCTCGCTCAATCTGGACCACATAGTCCAGATCCTGGGCACAGCCACTGAAGTCGGGGTACACATACAGCAGACCCTGTTTGGGATCGTATCGCAGGCTCACCAACAGAGTGTCCTCCTGCAGATCGGCATAGATGTACATCAGTTGGTAGCCCAGTTTATGCAGCTTTCGGGCTTCGCTGGGCATTATGTCCTCCACATCGCCATCAACCAGGGTGTGGATGAGACAGGTTCTGGCCGCAAAGTTGGGATCGTCGAGGAGCGAAACATCTGACATGGTGGCGGAGGACAGGCCATTGGAACCGGTGCCCATGGGGGTCAAGGCCGAGCCGGATCTCGTCCTGCGCTTCGATTTGCGCGTCCTGCGACGCACTCTAATGGGCTCCAAGTGCTCCTCCTCCAGGTCCTCCATCTTCCGCAGGTATCGCTGCTGCAGCTCCAATGTTTCCAGGGCCCAGTTGTGATAGCGCCGCTGGAGCTTTGGGGCACCGCCTCCGGGATCGGGCTTATGGCGTTCCAGTTCGGCCCGACTGAAGTGTTTCTGCTGCCAGGATATGCGTAGGGTGGCAATGGCACCATTGCAGAGCTCCTTGTTCCTCGCGTAGAAGAGATCGCCGCCGGGACGACTGTTTTCGCTGAAGATGCTCCACGAGGGATTGCTCTGGGACTCCAGATCCTCCACATCCTCCTCTCCCCGTTCCTGCTCCTTATCCTGCGATATGGGACTCCTTCGCCTCCTCTCAATATTGCCCGCATTTCCGGCGTTACCCATTCCCAAATTATAATAGCTGCAGTAGTAGCCCAAGCGATTTGGCCCACCATAGGATTCATCGCCTTGTGGCACGTGAATAAAGCAATCCTGCCAGATCTCCTCCTCCGATCCGGGATAATGGTCGTGGCTATCAGGTCCGCCCACGGACTGGGCTCCCACGTACTCGAATTTGGGCACTGGCAGCCATTCGCTGATGTGACGGAGCTTCAGTTCCAACTGCAGATCCCCAATGTTTCCACTCACGCGATAAACTCCTGTGCGCTTCATGTCCTTTCCCTTCTGCATTATTTGCTCCTTTAGTTTGTTTTCTTTTTTGTTTAATGCCCAGGCCTGCCTTGTTCTCCTAGCATTTCGTTATGTTTTGTTTTCGGATTTGTAAAGTCCGTTGCCAAGGCAACCAACCGATTAAATACCAAATGCTATCGACGGTTGCTGTGACTACTGTTTGGGTCAGAGCTGACTACTATCGTTTTTGGGAAAAAACATTTAAAAACTTATAATAAATATCTTTAAAAATAACTGGCTATATCGAATGGAGTCAGTTACCAGTAACTTTAATTTTTACAACACTGCAATCACCGAGTTACATGTGAAGTAGATCAACACGTTATTATTACTTTGGGTTTCTTGTAATTTTTAATGCCAATATACAGACTTATATTTTGTCTTTTCAATTATTTTATTATTTTCTTTGTAAATTTGAAATTAACGTCCAAATTGTATGAAAGTTTTTCATTCGCTAAGCTTGTATTTATAGCCCCAGAAAAAATCATCTCGAAATTCGGTTTTCTAATCAAAACCCCGGGAAATAATTGTCCCATATTAGAATATTATCAATCCTTAAAAGCGTACACAACTAATAAATTGTATTTTTCGAAAGAAATCATGATGGCACCTCTTATGAAAAATATTTTGACCAAAATATGGGAAAAATCAGCTCGATTTGTCGGGTTTTTAATAAAAGCGCTGGAAAATAAAGGTCCGATGGTAAAGTGTTATAACTCGTTGAATTCGTAATAAAATTTGGCAATCGATTGGCAGCAAAGATATACAAAATCTTTATTAATACACAAAATAAAATATTTCCAAATACCATTAAAAAACTGGTTTTGTTTGGTTTTTTGAGTTATTACTTTTATTTGGTTTCATAATTTAAATTTGGTTTCATAATCGTTCATCTTGTTCAAATACAATAAATAAACATTTAAACTATTTAGTGGTATGTATATATGTATATATATAAATCGTTTGGTTTTTTTTTATTAAATATTTTAAATAAGTGTATATATATTGTTTTCCATGGGTTTTTCCTCATACCTTCCTCCATCTGCTTCGCCTTTTCTCGTTAACTTGCCTCTATTTAATAATTGTTGTTCTCTTCGTACCAAAATTTTGCATTGTCTTTTTTGGTTTGGTTTGAAAGAAACTTGGTTTGGTTTGTTATATAAGTAAATTGCTGTGTTTGGGCTTACGGTCGTCAAATATCGTCTATATATTTGTGTATGTATCGTTCTATACTTCATACTATACACACTTGCTTGTAAGTAAAAGTAGCTTGTTACATAAATACTAATGTATAAATTGTTTTCTACTCAAGTATGATGCACATACAAATACAACTAGGTTTGCATGTATTGGTATATCTGTATATGTATGTGTTGGTGTGTGTGTGTGGGTGTGTGGGTGTGAGTGTCAGCTGTACATATGTAGAATGTATGTACCATTATCAATAATTAGTTAAACTGTAGCTAGTATATGTATTTGCCATTTGTTGCTCAACAATTTCTTGTACCTCACACATTTTACCTTTGACTTTCATTATTTTTTTGGAGTTTTTCATTTTCATTTGCAGTTTTCGGGATTTTCTCTGGTTTCTTTAATTATATATGTTTTTTTATTAGTCACAGATGTTTTTAGGCGCGCTTTTATGCTTTAATGAATTCAGCGTGTTGTATATTATTAATATTTCAATTCTTTATAGTAGAAAATAAAATATAAGTTAAAGGCAATTTTCTTAGTATTTTTCATTTTTTTCTTGTTTTTTTTTTTGAAAAAATTTGTGCTTAATTTTGTAGAAATTTTGTTTGTTTGCCTGCATTTTATTAGTTTAAAACAAAAAATGTTAAGATACTTTGTTTAGTTTTAGTTTTAATTTTAATAATGTATAATATTTAAGTTCAATAAATTCGTTACGACACATGGACTAAGACACAGCAAAAAATATTCATGCTTAATTTAGTGTTTTTTTTTTATCCATCCTATTTTATTTATCTCCCATTCAATTCGTTATAGAGATCTTTTATAGTATTATTCTCAAGGTTTGTTTTCAATTGGTTATTATTCTTCACATTTCGCGTCCTAAATGCGCTTGTAAATATTTGTCAGTAATAAATGATGAAACAGCTTAAGAACTCGTGTTTTGGTTTTTAAATTATTTTTCGCGAATATTTTTCAAGACACCTAGCCATACCTAATTGTCTGCCAACTTCCAAATATGTAGTTATTTTCGTATTTCATCGATTTAAGTGCTAAACATTCAACGGTTACGGTCACTGATAACTTCCAATCGGTAATTTCTAGATAATTTCGTATTTTCGTATTCGTATTCGGTTTTGATATGTTCGCTTCAAATGCGTGTCATGAAAATACATTTGCTTTGCTGATTCTGCAATACAACTCCGTTTAAAAATATACAGTAGAACAAGGCTACTACATAAGTACATAGGTATTTATCTATATATCTGTAGACTAAATTGGGCAAATATCTTGTCATTGGGCGTTGTAATTCCGTTTTTACGTTCGTTAGTGCAAAAACTCTTTGCATCTTCGATTTTCCGTATATTTCCATATTTAAAAATCTACCGTTCTTTCATATTATTTTTATTATAATTGTGTGGCCAAAGCTTATTGTCGGAAGCGTTATGCATTTTAGTTTTATTTTTTCGGTTTCCTTGATATTTTTTTGTTTTGTTTTGTAAAAATGTTTTCAATACTCGTCAGTTTTGTGTTTGAACATTAAAAACAACGAAGGGGAAAGTACAACGGAAAATATAAAAGTTTTGAGATTCGGTAAGGCTATTTTTTTTAGTTATATTATTTTATTTAGTGTCGATTTAATTTCCTCCATGTTTGCGTTATTATTTTCAAAAATTTATATTTCATTTTGGTCTTTGCTTATATTAATCACTAAAATTTAACTTTCTTGTATATATTTTTCCTTCGATAAATGTATATAAATTGTTTTGTTCTGGTTTTCTTTAGGTTTGGCGTAACTTTGTGTGAGCCGGGTTTTTTTTTGCCCATTTTTATATCGTAAAGAAAATGTTTCAAAAAATGTTTAACAAACAATTCAATAGGCTTTACACGAAAATGATGTGGCATTTACTTATACGTTATATAAATCAATTGTAAAATATATATATATATATATTCATATATTACTCGCTTGTATGTTATGTTAGTTTGTTGTATAATTAAATATTGCATTTGGTTTCGTTGAACGTCTGGACAATTTTTCATCTTCGCCGTCGATTTTCTCTCCGATTTCGCTTCTACTTAGTGACATAGAGTTACAACTAGATTAGTATATATCTGTACGTATTTAAATATGAGTGTTTTCCTTGTGTCATGAATTCTGGACCAAGGACTTTGGGTTTCTCCGCGAACAAACCTAAATCTTCGGCCTGCTCTGCTAAGTATGCTACAGAAATGTTCGAATAAACGAATAAGGATCGAATATGCATATCGGGCATATCCACCCCCCATTTATCTCTAGTTCCTATAAACCGTACATAATATCTTCTGTTCTTCTAGTTTATTTTACCGCTTCGACGAAAACCTTTTCTTGCTTTTTATATAATTTACAAAAATTTTGATTTCAGTACCTGATTGCAATGGGTTTTATCTTTTGGTTTAAAAAAAATATAGACACTTGTAATTGTTGTTGTTGTTGTTGTTGTTGCTTGCTTTAGACATAATTTGAAATACAATTCATATGTATACATATAGGTATATATTTTGTTCTAGTTTTATATTTAGGCCATAATTTGTGTTGGTTTGAATACGAAAACGCTTTCAAAAATTCTACAGGACATAACTTTCTCGCTCTGTCGCTTGCTGTTGTAAACTTTAATATGTAAATACACACAATTAGCTATATTTATGTTAAATATTTTGTTTCCGCTAAACTTACGCAATTTGAACCCAATGAGCAAAGTATCTAAGACATATCCACGTCCTGGAAAATTGTTTCTCATTCTTACATTCGTTTTACCACTACAATACAATTGGTTTCGGTTATTGTTGCTTGTAAATATAGTCGATATATGTGTATAATTATGATCATTGGTTACAAGTACAAGACATTAAAGGAGGGCACACGAATCGAATTCCTAACAATTGTGTTTAGAGTGTCTACATTTAATTGCGACCGAGTTGGCTGAGATCAAAATTAAAATTGCGGAATTGGTCTAATTTGTTATCCCTTTTTTCGTTCACAACCATATAAAGAAGTTGGAGGGGAAGCAAGAGGACTGATGTTCATAAAATGCATTGTGAAAATGTCCTCTACGGGTGCTACACGCGGAATATAAGACGCCCAGGATTCCATAAAGTCTCCCTTTTAAATCGGTAATATTATCTAACGAGTACCAAAAATTTAGAATTTAAGAAATCAGCTTAAAAGGTTCGAAATAGTTTTAAAATAAAAAAAAAATTATATCTTGGATAAAGCAATAAATTAGGTTTAAAAATATTAACAAAATAATCAAATTATATATCCCTGAACACTACATTTTAATGGTTTTTAAAATTTTTAATAATTAGACAAAAGGTTATTTTTAAAAATATTTGTAATTAATTTAAGGACGTCACTCTAAAATGTTTGATGGCATTTACACGAGTGTATAAACACCTAACTAAACCGATTTAAACATGGTTTGAAAACCGACATATATATCCACTAATTCTTCTCTTCCCGTAATCCCTGAACTATTCGCTGAATAAAAAAGAGAAGATTGGAAGAAGGGGCTTTATACTATTCGAACTTCTGGCAAGAATTCTATATGTGTTTGTGAATTATAAAAAATCTAGATCTGTTGACTGATTTGTGTAACTTATTGCTGATTCATTTTGTTGTCCTGGGTAATGTTATATCTCGATTCTATCAATTGTTATTGCTTGTGTAATTGTATCGCTCCTATCGATTTTCTTTGTTCGTTTTGTGTAAAGTAAAAGAAAACTCAAGCTTTTGTTCTCAAGGTTCAGGTAATCAATTTCTAGTCTTATCTGTTGCACTGAGTAGTCTGCGATTTTCCTTATTTTCATTTGTTGTTCTTGTTGTTATACTCTTTAAAGGTATGTATACATAT